CAAGTAACAACGTTAAATCAATCGTCCAAAGAATGACAACCCGACAGGAAAATGTAACCACATAAAAAAAATCATAACAACATAGAATCAATAACAGAGTTACAAAAATAAAAAAGCATAGAATCAAAAACACAAGTGCATAGAAACTTAAACAAAGAAACTTAAAAAAACATTAAACACCTTGTAGACGTCCCACTTTTCGATAATGGCGTCGAAAGTTGTGTACAAATCATTCAGTAGATGAACGACCTTGTGGGCGTGACGTCATTCTCAAACCATCATCATCATCATCATCATCGTCGTCAGAATTAACATGATATCATCATCATCACCTTCATCATCATCATCCTCACCATCATTATTATTTTCATTTTCACCATCATCATTGTCCTCTCATTCATCGTCATCATCATCGTCATCAGCATAGCAACTCTCACCACCACTACCACCACCACCACCTGTATCGGTGTACTGTCAGACGAGAGTTTCGTGAAGCCGCAGATGTCGCTGAAGTAGATGGTCACACTCTCGAACTTCTCAGCCTCAACTTTCTCGCCCCTCATCAAAATCTGAGCTACTGATCTGAGTGAATGAGTGAATGAATGAATGAATGAATGAATGAATGAAAGAATGAATGAATGAGTGAGTGAGTGAGTGAGCGAGTGAGTGAGTGAGTGAGTGAGTGAGTGAGTGAGTGAGTGAGTGAGTGAGTGAGTGAGTGAGTGAGTGAGTGAGTGAGGAAGTGAGTGTGTGAGTGAGTGAGTGAGTGAGTGAGTGAGTGAGTGAGGAAGTGAGTGTGTGAAGAGTGAGTGAAGGAATAAATGTCAAGCACGCCAAAAAATAGTATGCGACACTTCAACAAACATCAGTCAACACAAACATACACAACTGCGACAACTCATCCCTAGCGACAGCTACACTTGCTGCTTGTGGCAGCCACACAGACTGCAAGCTGCAGCCACACATTCTAATTTCCACCACAAAAGCTCTAGTCGCAACCACACTTGCCACTAACTGCGGCAACATGCGGTAGAGCAAATCCTCTGCCCTTTTCTTCTCTTCCAAGTAATCGGCTGTTCTGTCCTTCACTTGTTCTTCCAAGTTTCTGGCGTAGTTTTCCAGACGGACCAGTAGGTTGTCCACCAAGTTGCCCGAACAACCTGCCTCTCTGTGGCGTGCAGGATAGATGGATGGATGGATGGATGGGTGGGTGGGTGGGTGGATGGGTGGGTGAGTGGATGGGTGGATGAACAAAGTGTAGGACGGATGGATGGATGGATGGGTCGATCGTTAAATGGATGAATAGATGAATTAAAATTAAAAATGATTGTTAGTTAATTAATGGAGAAACAAATGCTTAAATAAAATGACTAAATTTGATCGAACAAAAAGACGCTAAAAACTCTAAAAACCAAATGAAACAATTGAATAACTCAAATTATAATAAAAACTGTGAACATGAACAAACATGAAAGAAATTTTAGACCACCACCGACCTATTGATACTCCTAATGCTATTCTTAATAGCTCTGATATCGGGCCTCTGCTTTGGGTCTTCGGCCCAGCCCTGCTTGATGAGGTTGGTCAGGGCTGTGGGGCAGTCGTGCGTTTCCGGCAGGGTCGGTCGAAATGGGGGGTTGGGAGGTGAGGGGTGGGACTTTACTTTCAGGACTTTTTCTGTTGTGGTTTGGTTTAGTTTGGTTGCAATTAATGTTTGGGTTTAGTTAGACTTAGTGTGATTATTATTGAATTATTGAGTATTATTTTTTATTTATTATAGAATGTAATGTTTGCTAGAATATATGTTGAGAGTCTGGTTTTTGTCTGATTGGTTAAGATTTGCAATAAACTTTTTTAGTTTTTTTAAATGTTTTTTTTTCGTAATTAATTTTATTTAAACTCAATTGAATTACGTCAAACAATCAGGATTTTAAATGAAACTTTAAGTTTTAAACTATTTTTGAGGTGTTTATATAAATAATTATCTCTCTGATGTTATAATTTCCATCTGGGTGTTATTAGGCAATTGAAATAATCGACTTTGAAGTCTCCATAATATCAAAAATAACTCAAAAAAAGTTTTACCGCACCTTTCACCTTTTAATCTTTTGCGAAAAATTCATTCATTTATTCATTCGTTCGTTTGTTCGTTCGTTTGTTCTTTTCTTCGATCGTTCATTCATTCATTCATTCATTCATTCACCTTTCGGAGTCATCGGCACCATTTCGAACGCTTCGTTCTCCACATAAAATGATCCGTTACGAAGAATTATTTCTTGGCAGATGATTGCAAAACTGTAGACATCCCCTGGATTCATTCATTCATTCATTCATTCATTCACTCACTCTCTCACTCATTCATTCATTCATCTATCCATACATTCATCCATCTATCCACTTATGGAAAAGTAAGGCAGATAGATCAGACCACCTTTTTGCTGGACGTAGTACGTTTGGAGGTCGGCACACTCACTCGCCCTCAGGAGTTCAGGAGCCGTCCATAACAGTTCTGTTCATTTGGTTTTAATTTTGAGAATTTAGGCAATAAATTTGTGTAAGGTTAAAGATCCATTACAATTCCAAAGTTCAGAGCAATCAATAGCACACATCTTTACTTGATTGAATTGAATAAAGTTATCCAAATATAATCGGTTGAAACATATGAATTATTAACGTTTTCAGATGCAACAATTTTGATGTATTCCATTTAAAGACGTACGTTAATCAGAATTGAGACTAATTTAGAGAAAACTTTAAATCTGGCGTTAAAAATTTTCAAGTTACGAATGGCTAAAAACATTAAAAAAAAATTGAAAAATTAACAAAAGTAAATTTAATAACATTAATAACCCAAATAAAATCAGTTGACGTCAACTAACTACAAGGCAGTGAAATATAAATTATAAAAGTACAAAATGACTATTGAAAAAATAAGTTGTTAAATAAAAACCACCCCAAATAAAGAAAAAACCCACTCTTATAAGCAATATTCGGATCGTCAGCGTCGGCATCGTCACATCTCTTGAGAGATTCGATACCGAAGTCGGTTAACTTGAGTACGAACCGACTGTCGACGACACAGTTAGATGTCTTCAAGTTTCCATGGTAGTGAACATTGCTGTTGTGGATGTAGTGGATACCCTGGCGAATGTTATAATATTTTGAGAGTTTATTTCTGATTCGCTAGAGTGACTTTTAAAAAATTCATTGCCACTGACTAATAGAGTCAAATAATCTAACTTTATGATGGCATATGGCTATCTACCAGCAATAATGTTAAGTTATATTAACTAAAAATCATAAACATCAAAGCGTCATCTTATTCTTATCACACCACAATTATAGCAGAGAATAAGTTATATATAGTGGGGCGGCGAGATGCTGAGTGTGTTAATACAATTGAGAATTAAAAGAATAAATATTTTTCACTGGTTATCACTCCCCTACTCAGTGACGTATCTAGGTGTTGCCGAGCCGGAGGGCCAGTCCCCCCTCGTTGTGAGTAGAATTTTTTATAAAGTTCAGTAAAACTCATTGTTCTAGCAGAAAAAGCGCCGTTTTATGACAAAAATCCAGCGAGAAAGGGCGTGATGACCAAAAAAAACCACCCTACCACCACCTAATCTTGTCTCCCGACAAAATTTTGCCTCCCCCCCTCCGCGAAAATGTAAACCATGTCTACCGTCATCATCTCCATGGCACCCACCTGAACGAGATCTTGAACCAGAGATAATTTGAACATCCGATCCATATGCAATTCTTCGTCTTCCAACACGTCCTGAAAAAGTTAGGAAGAAACAAAAAATTTGAATATAATGAATGAAAAAAAAATTATTTGGAGGAGAATCTATTTGGATTAAAAATTAATTGCTTTTAAAAATTGTGCTGAAAATAATTTTAAAAATGACTCTAAAACCGGAAACGATTATTAAAAGAAAGATTATCACCCGATAAAACATTCCAATCCTAATTTTGAAATAGCATTAAGTATTAAAAACTTAAGATGAAGCTAAAAACAAACAAACCCGCGGATTAGATACAATAAGATACAATCAGATACAATTAGATAAAAAAAAATTGTATACAACGTACAAAAGAGTAGCGTACATTCTTAAAAAAGAATATAAACAACAATTTTTAAAAAAATATTGCAGCAGACTGGTTTTTTTTATATATTCCATGATAGTTGATACATACGATAAGTCCGATGAAACTTCAAATAAGACGTGTAAACTCAGTTCAATTTCATCGCATTCACTGTGCGGCTCACATTTCTGTCAACAAAACCAGCCGAACACAGCATGAAAGGCACATATTTTTATCAAAAAGATATGAAGAACATTGTAAGGCACGGACATACGCAGATATAGATTGTAACAAATTGACAATGCAGGCTTACATACACACAAACACACACATACATACATACATACACGCATACGTACATACACATACACACATGTAACAAACGGACAATGCAGGCTTAAGCACCTACACACAAAAACACACACACACACATACATACACATACATACACACACACATACATGCACACACACACATGCACAAACACACACATACATGCACACACTCACATACGCACACAAACACACATACACATGCAAACATACAACTGAATGCAGACGTGTACTGCTAACGAAAGATCAAAGTGTTAATCCAATTGTCACTTGATGGTTGGCTGTTCAGTGTCATTCATCACGTTTTGGTTTTAACATACACACACATACACATACATATACAATACACACACTCATACACACACACATACATACACACACAAACACACACACACACATATAGATACAAACACACACACCTGCACATAGATGATTATGAAGAAAAAAAAAAAAAAATTTTTTTTTATTTTTTATGTTCATTATTAATCAATACTATCATTATGTTGTTTTAATTCTTGTGTCGGTTAATAATTCTTTGTGAGGTTTGTTGATTATTGTGTTGAATTTTTGTACATACCTAGTAACTTGTGTGGATAAATCCTAAAAATCGTCATTTAAACTAGTATTACTTCTTTTTGGTCATCTTTTTATTTATTGATTTTGTGTTAAATATATGTGTGTTTTGACATTTAACTGAGTGACAATCAACTTTCTTTCTTTTTTCTTGTTTATTTTTTCTTGCACTTATTGTAGGTGCTTTTGAGATTTTATAAAAAGCGATTAAAATTT